ATTTCAACAAACTACAGAAATTATTAGAAGCTGACCGTAATTGGAAGAAAATAGTCGATGCAAGAAATAAAGCAAGTTTCACTGAAGAAGAACTTCCTGATAACAAGGAAGATGATGAGCCTCAATTACTAGGTGAAATAATGGAAGCAGTAGCTGATATTGCTGACATGCACATAAATGTACCTAATTTAACATTAGAGCAAAGAGAGGCAATGCTTAATGTAGATCAAAAAAGAATTTTTGATAAAATTAAGAGTCATCTTATAAGTCAAAAAGAACGTGAAGACTTATTAGAGAATGAGTCTTCAAGACTACTTAGATTAGATAATATCAAACCGCTAAGGATGTTTATTAGTGGTGTAGGTAGAACTGGTAAATCGTTTTTGACAGAGGCAATAAAATGCCTAGTGGATGACATATGGCATCCAAAAAGTAGTGAAGTTATGTGTGCTATAGTAGCACCAACAGGTATAGCCGCATTTAATGTAGGTGGACTAACAATACATAGATTATTTCAGCTACTGATAGAGCATGAGGGAAAGACAGCTGGATATTGGGCTTCGAGTAAAGAAGCTCAGAAAAGAATAAAAATGACACTTAAAAATTTAAAAATTATAATAGTAGACGAGGTATCTACGGTATCCAATCTAAATCTAGCATACTTACACATGCGCTTAGAAGATATATTTGGAACTGATGAATGGTTTGGATCCAAAAATATTTTATTTGTAGGTGACTTCTTACAATTGCCACCAGTTAATGGTAGACCAGTATTTAATAAAATTAGCAACAGACTAGTAAAAACTGGACTTGGAGCAGCAAATGCAGTTAACATATGGAAAGAAACAGTAGAATATGATGAACTAACAATCAATGAGCGACAAAAAGGAGACGAAACTTTCTTTAAAATGCTTGATTCTGTTAGGCATGGCTGTCTGACTGATGATACTATTGATACGCTTAAAAGTCGTGTATTTAATGTTTCAATACACGAAAAATATAAGGAATTGGAAAGTGAAGGAACAAATCCTCCAATTTGTCTATTTTCTAAGGTAGATGCCTGCCAAAAAATCAATGAATTAATGTTAGAAAGTCTAGAAACTGAGAAAATAGAATTAGCATGTGTTGATGTTGTTGATGAAAGTGGCAGCACAGCAAAATTTGACAAAAAACAAGAAAAAAAATTAGATGAACTAAAAGATCAACCAAGCAAAACAGCTGGTTTAGAAACTGTATTGTCTTTAGCAGTAGGCTGTAGAGTAATGCTAAGACGTAATATTGATGTGACTGTAGGATTAGTTAATGGTGCCATTGGTACAGTAATGGGTATTTATGCTACACGTATATCAATCAAATTTGATCATATTGATGTACCTTGTGACATAGAAAGGGTTACATCTAGATTTATGCTATCTAAGAATTTGTATATACATAGGAAACAGTTTCCCCTCATACTTTCTTATGCTATCACTATACATAAATGTCAGGGCCTCTCACTAGATGCAGCCATTATTGATTTATCGACTGATGTTTTTGGGGATGGTATGGCATATGTTGCATTGTCTCGTGTACGCACATTAAATGGCTTACATTTATTATCATTTGATCCTCTCTCTGTTAAAGTTAGTAATCTGTGCATTAATGAAATTAACAGGCTGAGAAGTAAATTTCGAAAAGACTTACCTCAAATCAAGAAAAGTAAAGGAAAGAAGAGAAAGATTCAAGTGACTGGTATAATTGATGATGGTGAACCTTGTAG